CCAGCCTGCATGTCTTCAGGGAAACAGAAAGTCATGGATTTCAAACAGGATGTGGATCGATGGGCCAAAGACTGAGTGTTTGGTTGATGATGTATGAAAATTGGCTCACTGTGTTGGGAACATAAAACTGAACTTCTGTTCCGTTGCATAGAAAAAGGCACACCCCGAAAGAATCAAAGATCTAATTGTGAAAGATTGATCCAAAGAGTTAATAGAGGTTATCGAAAGGTAACAGAGGTATATAGCACATGAATTCTCTAACATGATATAGAGGCTTTGTGTCCACAAAAAGACATGATGGACAAACTTAATACATCTCTCATTTATTACTCCCAGAACACAGTTACAATATATAAAACCAACCAGGGTCAAATATCTGTATCTAGAACAGACAAAGAACTCTCCCTAATACACACACACACAAAAACAGAGCAAATCAAAATAAAAAAGTAGTCAAAGGATGTAAACAAGCATTTGACAAAAAAAAACTCAAAAAGAAGGCCACTAAACAAAGACATAATAATTTGCACTTATCCTTAGAATCACAGGAACTATTAGAAAACGGGACAGTGCAGGTGCTGCTGGAGAAGTGGAGAGATTCAAATCTCATGGAGCACTTGTGTGAATTCAAAGTGACCCAGCCATTCTGAAGGGCAATGGGACTGCTTCAAGTTCAGGTCAATGTGGGCATGTGCTATGATCTACATGAAGTCATATCCTAGATGCATATCCCAGAGCAATTCCTGCACAAGCATGAGAAAATAGATATGAATGTTCATCCCACAACTGTTTTTAGAAGGGACCTGAATGCAATCCAGGGAGAAATGGACTATTAAAGGGGACCCGTGAACATGGTGGAAGACTGTGCCGCATTTAGCACAAAAGACTAGATCTGAACACAGAGACATGAATAGATCTTTAAAACACGGAAAAATAGAATGAATTTATAACATAACGGCATTTATGTAAATTAAATGCAAATGCACATAAAACAAAAGCACATGCAAACAAACAATCCGAATGATTACTATGGCGGGAGAGAAATGCAAGTGGAGAGGGGGTTAGAACAGCAGGGGGGAAGAAGGAAGGAAGAAGTGCTGAAGGAACAGGGGAAATAAGGGAGGGGCCTACATTAATCTCAACGGCAGTGTCCGAAGAATCTGGGTCTAATCAAACACTCCCCAAGTCCAAAATAAATTAATAGAAGGGCTGATAAATGTTTAAGTAGTTCTGCAGATCAATGAGGTAGGTCAATGCATGCACACAGGTACGCAGGTAGGTAGTAGGTAGGCAGGTAGATGGGAGAAAGAGAGGTGTGGATGGATAGATGGTAGAGAAATGGTGTAGATAGATGATAGACTGATGGACAGATGATACATATAATATGACTCTATATGTATAATATATTCAGGTAGATAAATATATATGTAATATGTATATACAGGTAAATAAAAAGGGAAAAAGCCTTCTTCACAATGAAATGCTCAAATTAGAGGCAGAATGGTAAAACCTGGTAAATTTGGACATTTCTCCGTGACATTTTCTAAAATGTAAAATTTGTTTGAAATACAGATATATTTACTTAGAACAATATGCACGGATTTCAACTGCAAAGGCCCACGGATGTGCTTTCCAATGGAAAGGTCAGCGCTCTCCTTCACCACATCCCCATGTCCCACCCCATCTTCCGCAAACCGCTTCCCGGGCGACGGGCCACGGCTTTTACCTGCACGCTGCTAACTTGTGTCAGCTCCTCCTGGGGAAAACACCAGTCATTTCAAAGACAGCCTCACAATTCAGGTTTTATAAAAATAAGAAAGGCAATAAAAAAATCTAACAACTGACTCTGTATGGGTTGTCTCATTTGACCCTTATAATAACCCACTAAAATAGAAAAGCTGCATTTTTCATTTTGAATATGCTGTTTATCGCCAATTTATGTATGAAGAGAGATTGTGATGGTATTTATAAGAAATGACTCCTTTCTTATTATGCTGCCTTTGTTATTCTATTCTCTGCCATGTTATGAAAATACACAATTACCAACTATAAACATCATGAATATCTCATAAAGTTTCATCATATGTGAATATAATATTCATATGGAGACGTAGACAATTCAAACTGACAAATAAAACTCCTTCTCTTCCTAATATCAGAGTCCCAAATTTAACACACAAAAAAAGTTGCTGGATTATCCTGGTGAGAGTGCTTTAGCAGCGACTGGTGTAATTAACACTACTTGTATCTCCTTTCAATGTGTTTCACCCCTGAGTCTTCCTGGGCGGAATAAAACAGAATGATCCGATTTGAGCTGCATGCCTGTTTGGCCAGATGACATTATTCAGTGATCCAGTTAACCCTGAGCTGTTGCAAGGCCTCAAGTAGAATGAGGTAATAGACTCTACCCTCACTAGCTCAGCCCCACCTTTTCTTTTTTCTTTTCCAAAGAAGAAAGGTTCACGCTGTGGCAGGGGCAGAGGGTCTTAGATCAAAACCACACAGCGTGGGGGAGCGGGGGAGACCGGCCGTCTCTGCGTGGGAACTCGCAGTCCGCTCTGTGAGGGTCACCGCCAGCATTGCAGGAGACCGGACTCCGAGTGTGGGCGGGAACTTCACCTTTCACTTCATCCACGTGGGAAAAAGGAATCGCCTCCGTGACCAACGCCACAGGTGGCATCTCTGCTGCTTTACCAACCTCTCCGCGGTGCAGAGGCACGACCCGCGCGCAGTCAGCAGGCTTTAGGTAGTCCCGTCACCTGCTCTCCAATCAGACCTCCTTCACGCAGTGAGGGGTCTGGCCAGCACCCTGCCTCCGGTCTTCCTCCCACCCCTCCCACACCTTTATCCATGATGAAAGCTACTTGAACGCTTTCCTCAGTCGAGGGACAGTGCTTTCAGGAGGGGAGAACATCGGGCTGCATATGTGCACTTGATCAAAAACATTTGAAACGTGCACAAAAGCAGCCAAGTCAGAGACAGGACAGGACAGCCGTGTAAAGATGTCAGCGCCATAAAGGAGCTCGTTGTAAAAGCTCTGGCAAGCGGAATGGCTCCGGTCAACAAAGCACCACCACCCCTCTGGTCTCCCCTCCCCTCTCCCAATGCACACAAAACTCTCTCATTGGCGTTGCATCCTCGTCCTAAACTCTGGCTGCACTTTGTTTTCTGGACAGACCTGCTTTCGTATCTGACAACACAGGGACAAAACTCATTTCTATAGAATTCTTGCGTTTTTCAAAATATTTTACCCATTCTTTTTTCCAGCCATGTGCATTTCTTCCTATGAATAAATATAGAAAAAAATACATGGGATGTACCCTAACATACTATTTTTCTCTCAAATAATTCACTGAATGTTTTAAATTAGAAGTATTCAGATATATTCTGGGATTTCTTTGAATAATATAATGGGGGACTTTTTATAAATTTTAATTTAAATATAAGCTTCAGGAAGCAGTATCCAACATTCTCCAGGATTAAAACAAATTAACAAAATAAAACAATAATGGCTTAGCTAATTTTTCCACGAAACACCCAAAGATTATGTTAGGTCACCTACCAACACACCCTGATCCATGACACCCGGTAGCCCTCGGCCGCGTCACAGGCCAGTTCCACGGCAACCAGAAAGCACACACATCTGGGCAGAATACCAGGGATTAGATGCACTCAAATCTGAGAAGACAGATCCCGGTGTGCAAGACAAGATGTGATACATTGAGGTAATGCACACTCATCACCAAAAACAAACACAACCCCAACCACCACGGTGGGAAGTCCCTAAAGCAGCCTCCCAGGAGTTACCTTGTCTACATCTCCCGACTGTTAGACTCTGCCTCCTCCTGGGACTTCCCCACGATGGCGGCCTTGACCCTCTGTGAGACAGGGCAGATGGATGACAAGAAGGTGGGTTTGGAAAGCTCTCTCGTGGGATTTCTCTAAAAAGAGAGATTAATCCTCTACTGTGATCTCCAATATGGTAATTGGAGAAAACTGAATGCACAGAACTTTTATAACACTCAGAGATAAAAGACATAACTCTGGGAAGAAAAGAATTATATACCCAAGATTATCTATCTATCCATGTATCTCTAAAATGACTTCTAATGGAGATGTTTTGGGTTATAAAGTCAGCAAACTCAAGGAGAAAACAGCTCAAGAATACAGAATTACATGACTTATTTTTATTTTGTGATGTTCTTCATAACATTCATTCATGACACTTAATAGTTGAAAAAGATACTTGATATAAGTATAAAAAACATAGTTTCTATTCTTCTTCTAGTTTTATTCATGAAGATTTGATAGTGTTTTTAGTATGCCACCATCAACATTTCCATGTGTAATCATTTTCTATGTAGTTCTGCTATTGGGGTTTTTTTTTCCTGGAATGTAAAGCAGTTTGTAAACTACGGTGACCACACAACACTATGCTGGTGTCAGGTGGGCAGTGCAGTGACTTGACTTTGACCTCCCTGGAGAAGTGATCACCGCAGAAGTCTAGGAAGCACCGGCCACCACACCAAGTCACTGCGACATCACTGCCCGCCTTCCTGTGCTGTACATTATTACCTCCTGTGACTTTCCTCTGGTAAGTTTGGTGCTCTCATTATTGCTTTTGGGGCATGTTAATAAACACTGTCACCAAGGGCATTTTGAAAATATTTTCAAAAATATGAATATAATTTTGCTTTGTTCCTTTGTGACAACAAATGTTACCACCTTTTGAATCAATATTTGGTAAGCATTAGTTCTTCCTTCTTTGTTCATTTTTTTAAATAAAATTCTCGATCTGCTTTCAGGGAACACAGTATAAATGAGCTCTATTTCATTATTAAATATTAGAATGGTCGGCTCTTCCTCAGGGCTGCCTATGGAGGTGGCCGTCACCTCCGACTCAGCACCACGGCTGCCCTCAGACCCCTGGTGAAGCCCAAGGTCATAAAAAAAAAGAGGACCAACAAGTTCAATCGGCAGCAGCCAGAGCACCAGTCAAAATGAAGCGGAACTGGCGGAAGCCCAGAGGTGCTGACATTGGGGTGCAGAAGACCCAAGGGCCGGAGTCTGGCGCGCGGCACTGGTTCATGGGGGCAACGAGAAAACCGCACGTGCCGTGCCGCCCGGTGGCTTTCAGGAGTTCCCGGCCCACAGTCCAGGGGCTGGCAGCGCTGCTGGTGTGCGTCGGACCCCACCGTGCGGCGGTGGCCCGGAACCTCTCCCCCGGGAACCGCGGGGCGGCTGCGAGCAGAGCAGCCCGACCGGCCACCCGTCACCCGTCCGTCGCCAGGCTGCGCAGCGCAGAAAATGAACACACAGCTTGTGCGCACACTGTGCTTTCGTGAATACAACCACAAACTCTGCCACCTGGCATTTCCAAAAAGAATGGTTGGACAATTGGCTAATGATAATGAACATAAAATTTTATTTCTAAAAATATTAGATTAGACTGTTAATCCATTTAATTTTCTGTAGCTGAGGAGAAATAATGCACCCATATTTTAATGATGTTTAATATAATCTACAATTAAAAATTCAAAAGAATTTAGATGAGGTAAATTGTTGAAGGAATTAGGTTTTTGCATTAATCATCCATAACACAATGATCCTTATTAAAATATTTAAAATCCCAGTTGTCTTCTCTTGTATTTGAGTAAGCACAGCCAGGCAAGTCCTTTAAGATCCTGGAGACGCAGAGTGTCTTTAGGTTCTCCTATGTCTGATCGAACAGTTTTGCCTAAGGGTGTGAGACTTCATGTGCATTATCCAACACGAGTCTGCCACGCGGGCTTATCTTCCCGAAACTGCATGTACAGAGACACTGGGCCTGTGCAGGTGGACACACACACACCAGTGCGTGCACAATCACCCTTATCCATGTGTAGAGATAGGATCATGTATCCCCTGGGTAGCTGGTTTCTGGATAACAAGGAATTTTCACTTGTACATCTCTTAATTGCATGTGGTATCTCATCACCTACTATCCACTCTTACGCTGCTAGTCAGATTTTTTCCAATCATGTACTCACGGTCCAACAGACGTTTCGGGCTCCAAACAGTTGGTTTCATGCCAGAACCATAAAATCAATCCATGAATAGTAATAAGACATACAGACAGCATACATGCTTAATGTGCTATGGTGGGAATGGCCCCTGACCCCTGCAGTCTCCCCACCCACCCGTGACCCAGTCTAACCGTAGGGAGAGCATCAGACCAATCCTAAACCATCCTGCTCACCAGTCTTCAACCCGTGAAACATGTTTAATGGTTCCTAATCTGACTGGTGAAATAAAGGATTTTTTTTTTTACTAGCTCTACTCCTTAGAGCACATGAGATCTGAATATTGAATTATTGATTCTCACAGTCGCTGGAATGTTGTAGTTGAAAACTGTCGAATGAATGGGTAAGATGTTGCTTCATGCTTCCTAAGGAGGCTGTATCCAGTGCTAACTGATGTTTCTCTTCTCACGTCACACCTGAGCATTTCTAGGCCCTTTGAGAGACAATTCTTGTGGAAGATGGTGCTGCTGTTCATTCTCAAGGTTATACCTTTGGTTCACGTTCACTGGTAGCTGTGATATTTGGAACACTTTCTCCTAACAATCCAACGTTTTCTATCTATTTGGATAGTTACAGGCTGTTCTAAGTACCAGAATGCAAAATACTTTTGTTAAAACCACGCACACACATTTAAAAAAAACACCCATAAACAAAAATGTCCAGTTTCAAACATAACATGACACAAACAATACCACATATGGGGGAAAAATGGAAAGAGCTTTGCCAAAGCCTGGGGCGTCTGGCACTACTACTCCTCAGTTTGGTCTTCTGAAGAATTCCCAAGCCTGTGGCCAGCTGTCCCCCTGCACATGTAACAGCCGGGGACACAGCTGCGCTGCAGGATGGGTCACCTGCAACACGGTTTGGACCCCGCATTGCCAAACCGACTCTGCTCACTCCCCTTCTGATTTGCCAAGCACCTTGCATTCTCCCCTCTATCTCCACTCAAATATCCCCTTAGGAAAGGGATGTTACAAAGATGAGTGTAATCTTTTCTGCAAAGTACTTGGGGATTCTGGGCAAAAGCATTGGGTAAATACAGCACATTGCTATGACTAAAGGCACCGATTCACTGGCCAGTTCCCGTGACCATACTGACAACAGCCATTGGACCTGATGGTTACAGGCCCCCTCCCCCTAGCTTAACACAAGCCAGTCATTCATATATTCATGTAACAGCGACGGGCTTTTGCACGAAACTTGCCCTGAAGAAGAACTCCGACAGCTGGGCTGGCGGTATCCAGGGGGTGCAGGCGGCCAGCGTTCTCTAGAACGGGATCGAAAACCTACTCATGAGTTACACATCGTGTGCGACACCACAACGAAGACGACAAACAAAAACCAGCGCTTTGCATGCCACAGGGAGGGTCTGGGAGAGAGAAAAGCTCTTCCCAACACTTTCAAGAGTTAAGGTAAAAAGTACCTCTTTCGAGTTGGTGAAAATACCATTGATGGTTTTATAGTTTTAGTAAAAACACCTCCTACATAGCTGCTGATTTTTTTTCTTCTTTTGTTTGAAAAAAAAGGCCTTTGTTTTTAGAGGTCCATCTTTGCTATAAAAAAGTATTTCTTTTAGCTTAAGGCCCTGAAGGTTCCATGCCAGAGGACAAACATACTGTCCAGGTGGATGCAGAGGAGACCAATGAGAAAAGTTCTGCTCAGGTTGTGTCTCTGAAATGAAGATGCAGAGGAATCGTAAGAGACTTCCGTAGAAATCCAGGAGAGACATGATGATAACTTGGGTTAAGGTACCACAAAACTGAAAAGGATGAATGTGCAGATACAAGGATGAATGTACAGATAAATGGAGTCTTATACAATCCTTGAATATGGTGTTGATGGAACTTGCTGAAATAATTTGTATGGTTGTGTTACAATGAGAATAAGCAAGGGTGGTTCCCAGGATACTTTTTCCAGAGTGACAGACAGTGACAGCATTTGCTGAAACGAGGAAGACTCGGGGAGGAACAGCTTTACCAGGGGGCATCCGAGTTCTGTCTGGGGCGTGCAGAATATTTACCAGACACCCAAAGGGAGCTGCAGAATAGGAGACGAGACATGTAAGTTTGGCGGGGTGGTAAGGACGATGAGGTAACCTTGAGAATCACTGACATACAGATATGACGGAAAGCCTTACCCACATTAAAATCGTGTTTGTAAAGACAGAATTGAAGAGGATCAGGTCAACAGCCGGAAACACTTGAACATGCGGAGGTGGAGGAGGCAAAGTACCAGCAAAGAAGATCAAGAAGGTGCAACCAAGGAATCAAAAGCCTGCTTTCCAGATGAAACTTAATTTTTTAAAGGGGTCTATGGTTTGTATCTTCAGTGAATTCTGACAGTACAGACAACACATTCTAGTGTGATCTCACGGGTCCCAGGATTTCCCTGTTGGCCTCGGGGAGTAACATGAAGTTTTGTGCAAATTTGCAAAAATTACCACCAGGGTCTTCACCACTTAGTTCCCAAGCGTCATAAAGAATACTAATTGAAGTATAACACACAGTCATTAAATACACAGAGTGCATTGTTTGTACACATGCAGAAGTCCTTCTTCGGACACCAAACTGTGTGCTTCCCCAGTGCCAACTCAGTTCGATCCTGACGTCCACCCTTGGAGCGAGGCCAGGCCCCACGGGTTAAGGGACCGGTCCCACAAGAAGGCCCCCACTCTGGCACCAACCTCAACTGGGAGGTGAGGGGTGGGCAGGCACCCACACCTCTGACCCACTGGCTGTAAGTCAGGAATCCCCACGACCCTTCCTCAGGTTCCACAGTGCGCCAGAGTGGCTCCTAGAACTCGGGGACACACTTCAGTCACAGTTACACATGTGTTATAAAGGCTACAACTGGGGAAGAGCCAAGTGGAAAAGATGCGCGGAGGCAGGCCAGGCAGAGGGGGCAAGCACAGAACGTTGGTGCCCTCTCAGAGCACGCCACCCTCGATGTGTTCATCAGCTCAGAGCCTCCCCAACCCTAGCGTCTGGGACTCCCACGGAGGTTTCATTACATAGGCATGATTGATTCAACCATTGTCCGCTGGTTATCAACCTCAATTCCAGTCGCTCTCCCCTCCCTGAAGGTCAGGGGTGGGGCTGAGAGTTCCATCCCACTAACCAGGCGCGGTCTTTTTTGGGCAGAACCCCCACCCTACACCCATCCCGAGGCCCCAGACACCAGCATCTCATTAGCACACAAAAGACACTCATCACTCAGAAGGTTCCAAGACTTCTAGGAACCTTGTGCCAGGAACAGCAGGAAAGGCCAAATATTTATTTTTTGAATACCAAAACATATATACACTCTTGAAGTGAAACTTAGAACAAGATGTAGAAAATTTTGGGAATTTGCTTCCCTAGTGTGTTGACAACTCCTTGAGGCTCCAATATCAACAGTCCTTGTAAACCTTCCAAGGATTCCCCTGACAAAGCCAGACTGAGATTCCAGTGACATCTCAGAAACAAATTTGTGCCCTGGCTGGTGTGGCTCAGGAGACTGAGTGCCGACCTATGAACTGAAAGGTCACCAGTTCAATTCCCAGTCAGGGCACATGCCTGGGTTGCGGACCAGGTCCCCAGTAGGGGGTGCTCAAGAGGCAACCACACAGTGATGTTTCTCTCCCTTTCTTTCTCCCTCCCTTCCCCCTCTCTAAAAATAAATAAATAAAATCTTTAAAATAAACACAACAAATTTGTGACAGGTTTGATCTATGGGACATCCTATAACACACACTGAATTTCCAGAAGATCTGTAGTTGTCTGTATTTGGCAGGACAAAGAGAATGGTGAGAGAGACTTCTGAATCTGAGTTTACTCATTGTTAGGAAACAATATATTCTGCACAATTACCAGAGCAGTGTAAAAGAACGTGTATCAACCAAAGATCGTGACATTATTTTTTCAGGGCAAATGGTTCATGTAAAAAGATATTTTGGTTTTTCCCAAAGTTCTTTAGAATATTTTCTAGATATACTGAGATTTCAACTACTACAGCCACCCTCTCATTCGTCTCTAGAAGAAAATGAGACTCCAAAATGCCCTCAGATGTTCTTTCTCTCCAGCTGGTCAAGCCCAGAGGGAAAGAGACTCTTTTCTGGTCAGTCCGACCTGGTAGTACTCCCTCCATAGACCCCGCTGTGACCCAACACTGGGGGACATCTGAGGACCCCAAAACTTGGAGCAAAAGGTTCCCAACAATCGTGGCCCCTTTGGTTCTCCAGTAAGGTCATGTCTGTCTTTCCTCTTCTCCCCTAATTCATTGTCTGCCCTTTGTTCGGCCTGCTC